CGCTGTTTAGTTCTAATCAAAACTAGAGCAGAAAAGCCTGTCTCACATAAGTAAGTTGAAGAAAAAGGAACTAGTATTCGTAAAGCAAGAGAGGCAAGTGTCGAATTAACGGCCAATCTTTTGATCAAAAATCCGTACAATGTTAAAAGATGGAAGTCATCTTTATGGACGAATCAGCCTTCATTTTTAGAAATTCTTCCTGAACTTCTTCTGCTAATTGTGACACATCGACAACAAATGGATTTCTTGTCATGTGCCACATTGGTGTCTCTGAATTGATGTCTCGACAGTATCGGCGAAATTCGCCTTCCAGCGCTTGCAAATGAGTTTTTATGTCAGCTTTTAAATTTGTGTTATGTTATTTTAAATTGCGTCGAACAGCCGAGAAGATATAACATTTTCAGAAGACACTTTTTTATTCCAAAGTTGAAGCTTTGAACCCCTAAATATAATCATAATTGCTTGTTATAGTGTTGTTTCTGCCCTGAAGTTTCAAGTTTAGCTCATTCAAGGAGTCAAATATGTCAGTTAAAAAGCCAACCTCCATTGAAATGTGTCATCTTTGAACATTTTCATGAAATCGTGTGTTTCTTGGAACTCGAGAAAAAGAATTACCTCTTCTTTCAATCCATAAAGGCGAGCCAACATGTTGCCTTTGGACAGGCAGGGTACTTCTGTATGGAACAGAAGAACTTTGTGATCAGAATCGAGATCTTCGCAATGTAAAGTAAATAACCGACTGTTCGAGGCGCTCCACTTGATGTAGTTTACAATCCGTATAGGCGAATCCAAAGTCTTTCGGAATTTCTGTGCCAATGTTTTGGAAGTCAAAGCTTGCCGATGAATAACACAGTGTGTACTAACCATTGCGGGATTTTTTCCTTGAGCTTTTTAGTTAAGCCCGATCGTAAACCTGGCATTGCAGGTGTGCCATATGTGCAAAGTCCAATGAGTTTCTTCTAATCCAAATCATTTTTCCAACAAAATTTGGTATTGAATTAAATATATCTTCAGATGTAGTACCTGCTGTCAAAGATTGGGAGTACAAAATATCTTCTTGAATGATATCTGCGCCTATGTAACGAACATAAACCATTAACTGTGCACAATTAACGATGTCGGTGGATTCATCGTAACTAATGGCAAAAAATGGAGATAATTTTACTTTATTAATTATTTGTGACTTTATGTCTGCTGCAATGTCATTAATTCTAAGCTGGACTATGTTATTCTAAAGAGAAATAGACTTCATTTTTTGCTCTGCATCTTCTCCTAAAATTATCTGCGTGGCTTTTAGGACTCGAGGTTTTATTAATTCTTCTCCGATAGTATGAGGTTTCTTTTGCTTTGCTATCATAAAAGCTATTTTAAATGAAGCTTTAAGATGCTGCAATACACCGTGTGATAACTTCCCGATTTATCCAGTCTCATCCGCTTGAGTGATTCTGCTTTAGAAGATAAAACTCTTTCGTCTTCAAAGCCAGTGTTGTTGCTTAAAATGCCTTTCAAGGTGATTGGGCCCCATGCTATCATTACTTAAAACTTTCATACATATCACACACTGAGGCAATTGTAACTCGTCTTTTTCTATGAAGGTAAATCCAAACTTAACGTAATCTTCGGAAAACTTTATTTTTTTCGCTGCCATTTTGCACATATAAGTAATAAATAAATAAGCAAAATACCTACATGTAAATACTAATTATATGCCCATTATTTTATCTTGATAACGTAATGTATCCAACAGTATATTGCCACCGGGAGATTTATATTTTTCTATACGGATGAAGTTGTTACAGTCACCACTTTGTTTAATTTGCGACAAGAACATTTTTGTGAAGCCTGTCAATATGCAAGGAATAACTTTAGCTGTATTTACCGCGTTTTTAAAATCAACTGAAACGTTAGTAATGATTCTATAAGGGGTACAATAATGGGATTCGTTTCAGAAGCTACATTTTACTGTATCACTAATTTTTTTACTCGAGTGTCGTAGTAACTTTTACTTAGCCTTTACTACTATATCGCCGTTGTGGGAGTTATTGGCGAACTTCAAAGCGGAGAGATTCCAAAGAGGAATCGATACAATTTTGCAGGTCTTCGCGATGTTGGTGTAAGCTAATAATAGCTCGATTCTTGGTAGACATGAAAGATATTCTTCCTTTTCAACTACTCAATCGTTTAAAATGGGAGTATGTATTTTTATGAACTTTTATAGAAAATTCTCAAGGTGGAATTCCACAGATTGATATCATGAGGGTAAATAAAAAATAAAATATACATGTTACATGTTTCGGGCAACACAAATATGTCATACCACGAATTACATGACACAGTTCCAATGATAGACACGCTATATTTGTACCAAAATAGACTCATGCAGAACTATTTGGGTACAGGGTCCCTAAGTTAAGCTACCTTTATCTGGATGTTTTTAGTTAAAGGTCTTGGGAATTTCTGTTCAGTTTGCGGAGTGACGGATGGTTTCGAAATTTGTGTAGGTCTGTTTTAAGAAATATAATAAATATTTACTGTTAAAAAGTGAATTATGCAATGTCCGCAAACATTCAAAGAACGATTTTCATCTTATCCAAATATCAGCCACTCTTTATTAACTAGTCACTCTCAGGATTAACTGTACTCTAGACTTAGTCTACGATTTTCTATAGTAAAAGTTCAATACGCAGCTAAACTTAAAACTTGGTCCTATCTATATGAGCTTTGTTGATAGTGGTTCGTTGATGAGAAGCGCCACTCGTCAGTACACTTGGTTTGAGAATTACCAACCAATTCTTGGATATAATATAAAATATCTGATTTCTTAATAATAGCTGATTCAATTTGATGATTTTTTCATATTTGATAGCTTGTTGTCGATCATTTATGAATCAGAATTGACCTCCAATCTGTGTTTTGTCTAAAATCATTACGCATGTTTATCTTATCGTGTTACGTGAAGTTCTAAATAAACTAAATTTTATCAATTTATTGTAAACAAATAATGAATTATGAAGACATTAGATATTGGTACTCATCTAGCGGTAAGTGTTCTGAACCGCAAAATTTTTCAGAAATGAATCATTCATAATTATGATATGGGAACTATTACATTGAAGATAGTTTTAATAAGAATAACCAACTAGCTACATATACATATTAAGTTAGCATCTTTGATTATCTTCCGAGCACGTCCGCTTTTATGAAGTCAAAGCAGGAGGATGGTTTGTACAAATAGTAGCGATGCAAATCTGGAGACAGAAACGTCAATCATCAATACTTTATATTATATATCAACATCTTTTAAATTGAGCTAGGCTCAACAACCGCCAGAAATGCTCATATTTATTGCTTGCTTTGATGCTCGTATTTAAAGGTTACTCTAAATTATTACCGTATAGCTGGTTGTACATAGTTTTTTATGTATTTCGGTAGTAATAAGTGTTTATCAGCGACCGGATGGTAAGCTGTACTTTTTGGGTAGGTATTCTGAGCGTTGGGTTATAACGTCCAGTAAAGTAACACGTAAGTTGCCCGTATCAACTAATTCGGACTAGGCAGAAGGAATTAGTATGTGATTTGTTTTGATCCAAAATTGTGTAGTTAATAGTGAAGATCCAAGTTGATGCAGCTTGACAGTTGTTGACGTCTCGCATTAAATTCGTATTTTCAGCGAAAACATATAAAAGTGCACGGGTTTCAATATATTCCGACTTTTTCAGATAATTTGCTAAAATGGTGAAGGTTTCTGTGGATTAAGCTAACGAAAAGCGACAAGGCTTTAACCTGGACAGTGAGGTAATTTTGATTTACTTCACTCCTCTTCTTGTTCCTTTGAGCGCTTAGTCCTTATCTAAGGTTCGTTAACAAAATTTTATACCAAACACAACATTAAAAAGATGAAAAATATGGAGAAAAACCAAAATTTTTTATGGGTAATGGAAATGATCAACTGAAACTGTAAGTTTGAGTCATATCTACTTCCACTTGGAACCTAAAAGCGTTCAGAAAGTTCTTCGCTTTCGCGTTATAAATGGTAAGTTTACGTTTTATCATGTTAGTGCAATGATATTCTGTGAAGAATTAATTAAATCTCTTCCAATTTGTTTTATTTATTTCAACGTAGTGACAATGATATCATCAACTATTTGAAAAACCGAGTAGAGATCAAGGTGTCTCACTATTTCCAATATGAGTTATATCGCCACTGCTTTTATTTGATTAAGAGGATTTTATATATTTTTAATATTTCAGATACCAAAAGCACATATTAAGCCTGAATTGTTCATATCCTGTACCGTTAATAAATAATTGAAGACAGAAGTGGATAGAGGTGTTATGTACCTTAAGTAGCGATTCTATCATTCTGTGAGTACTTTGTTGCAAAAACAAGATAACATGAAACTTAATTAAACTAAATATTTAAAATTTCAATAAAGTAAAAAGTCTCAATAAAAAATGTTTAATTGTCAATTTTCTCCATAAAATGATTTTGTTACATGACACCTTTATACAGCTTCATTTCTTTGCTTTATTTAGTTTATCCCTGTCTACTGACAATAACTGAGTGATTTGCATCGTAACACAGATGATGACAGTAGATATTTCTGTGAGCCAGTCCAGTACGATTGGTGTCTTGAATATCCCAGACAAAACAATGTACGCCGATGCATTGGTTTGTCACTTTGACAGCCATTGCACTGTTGAGAGAAGGTACGCATTAAAGTTACGTAATATTGGCGACACACTCTGCTATAGGTCTTATCACGGTTTTTGGTGGGTCACAGTAAATCTATGACTTTCATGCACTCATACTAAAGGTACAGATAGACATGCTATAAAAAAGCATGCCTGTGAGCATGCTTCAAACGAGAATGCTCTTTTAACTGTATACATGTGCTTGAAATAAGCATGCTCGTTTCAGGCATGCTCCTGCAGAAGCATGCTTAAAACAAACACTCTACCTACACGTACCATTTGCTAGCATCTGTCAGTGTAGTGTGGTGGAAAACATGGAACACGACGTGGCTATCCGCACACAAGTGAACGAAACCATCATATTACTTGCAGTGCAATGCATACGCAATATACTTTTAACAAAAAAGAAAAAAAGAAGGAATAGGACGATTTGGGTCCGTGATTGGATAAATAGAAGAGAAAATCTTGGAGCCAGTACTCGTTTGTTGGTCGAAATGCGAGCAGAAGATAGTGAGGAGTGAGGGTGATCAAAATCATTTACGTATGCTTCCGCATCAGTTTGACGAGTTACTCTCTAAAATTGAAAATGCTATACAAAAACAAGATACACATACGCGAAATGCTATTCCAGCTAAAATCAAATTGGAAGTTACACTGAGATACCTTGCAGCTGGAGATTCCATGTACACATTAGAAGCACTTCACAGGGTTGCGAGATCTACCATAGCTCAATTTATACCAGAAGTTTGTGATGAAATATACAGGGCTCTGAAGGATTATATGCGGGTAAGTATAACACTGATATTATTTCAAATGAAACATTTATTTTTGTTAACATATTATCTGGTAAGTAGTTAGTTTGAATATTTGTAAAAGTAGGTGTGGAATTTATTATTTGTATGGGTGAAGTGGAGTATGTAGACAAGTTTGGGTACAGATGTCGACGTCTAGCCGCAGTTATAATTGTCTGAATCTCAGTTTGCACGCTTAGTGCATCATCTAATGGTAGGGCTCGCAATTGGGCAGCAATATTCAAACCAAAAAAATGAAATTCATCATATTCTGCTTGTCTGTTTATAGACGAAGTTATATTTTCTAAACGATTTACAGCAGAAGTGATCGGCTCTTCTTGTATGCTCCTTCTTTTACGCCGTGCTGGTGTGTCCTTAGATGAACGGGATGGTGTTCCTTCTTCCGCAATGTCAGTAGTCGAGGGTGGCGACATTACGGTGCTGACTGATGGCGGTGACAAGGGGTTAGAGTTCGAATTAGCACTAGTTGGTCGAGAATCCTGCGATGACTCTTCTGTGTCCTGTAAAAAAGATTAATAATAATAATAAATATTAGATAATAATAATTCTACTGTATACTATTGGATATAGAGATTTGGTTTTCTTTTTTACAGATTCCGTGCCATGAAGAATGGAAGCGTATTGAGCATTTCAAACTAAATGGAACTTTCCAGGATGTATTGGGGCGCTGGACGGCAAACACATAAATATACGTGCTCCTGATGATACTTCCGATTATTACAATTATAAGGGTGCCCACAGCACTATACTTCTCGCATTAGTTGACGATAATTACTGTTTTTCATATGTAAATGTTAGAACTAATGGGAGAGCTTCTGACGGCGGTGTTTTTCAACGATCAAAGTTGGCACAAGCTTTAGAAAATAATACTCTTAATTTACCAGAGCGATCGATAATTGTGGCAGACGCGGCTTTTCCTTTAAAGACTTATCTAATGAAGCCCTACCCACGAACACAACGCATAAAGAACAAGTGTTTAACTACCGTTTGTCGAGGGCTAGACGAATTGTAGAAAATGCGTTTGGTATTTTAGTCACAAGATTTCGAGTTCTTCTGAACACTATAGATATGAGACCAAAAAATGTTGATAGTATTGTATTGGCTGCTTGCTCGTTACATAATTGGCTGCGAAAAACATCCGATATGTACATCACTCACAGATGCGTCGATTTTGAAGATGTACAACAACGTGTTGTTGTACCAGGAGCATGGAGGACACAACTGCGTACAGCTATGGGAAGCCTACCACCTGCGCGTCATAGTAACCATGCCTCTCGAAAGGCAGAAGCAATAAGAAACGCTTATGCACAACTTTTTGAAACTACAGAAGCGGTACCATGGCAAGACCATATGATATAAACAACCTGTACTTATAGTATATATTATGTTCTATACAAAACTCTAGGCGATATAATAATAAAAGTATAAAAACTTACCACTGCTGTCTCAATAGTTTCCTGGTAATCACCTGTGTCTCCAAGGAAAGAGTGCATTTCTTTAAACCATGGCAGGGATGGACTATATACTGTTGCGGCACCAGATCCGGATCGCTTCGAACTGTTAATTTTTTTCACTTCTGAGTGGTAAACAGACCTCAAATTTTTAATTTTGGTTTTTATAATTTTAACAGTTAGAGTAGGGTCATTCATGTTTATTATCAAATATTTATACGCATTATTTCTTGAAATATTGTTTTTGTAATCCGGTAGCTTTGGATTCCAAAGGCATTAATGGCTCCGGTAAAGATTTACAAATTTAAACGTCTTTTCATCTCCCCAGCGAGACATTTTTTTTGGCTCGATGTCGCAACACACATGCACACTTGCGACGGAACACTAGCATGCTCGTTATTAGCAAAGGCGTCCACACTTGCTCTAGGGCATTCCCCCTCCATCCACATCTCAAGTATCACGCTCAAAAATCGAACGTCGATCGATTTGTCAGCATGCTAGTTTTGAGCATGCTGAATACTAGCAAATGCTTAGACACACGTGCGAGAAGGTAGCAATTGTTCATTAGTAGCATGCTTTTGTGCTAGTTTTGCATGTCTATCTGTACCTATAATATGCAATCGGTCACCATGCGCAGACTTACGTTTCATAGTTTTGTCTCGCTGCCTTGAAACTTTTCTCGTCAACGTCTGGGTCTTCCACATTTATGTGGTGTTAACGAAGATTGATCTTTGATATAAAACATAGTAGTGCTTGAAAATACAACTGCAATATCGGGAGTTTGTATTATGAAGTATTTTCAGAAATTGAGAAAACTGGGTTCTGTCACAGAATTGATATGTGTGTGCACGAGGGAGTAGTAGCTGCGCTAAGAATCAGCTTGCGCAGTGTGCTACGCACATGGTACCGTTAATCAATCTATTTACTTATTTCCTATGGCACTGTAATACTATATTTAAACATTTAGGTTTGGTTTTTAACCTATTCGAATTCGTTGGTTCGAATTTATTTGTCGCTGAGCAAGGGTTTCAACAAGCGACACCTGGTAATATAATATAGTATGATCCATTTATTTTTAGGTTCGCTTAAAAACAAACTTTCATATTTAATCTACAGCCAGTCGGAGATCAAATTTGAAATCTATCTAGGGTCTATAAGTGTTCCACGTTACATGATATAAACACCTACATTATCCTTCCTTCTGCTTACATCGTGTTATTTCAGGATAAATGCATAACCTGATATAAGTAGTATATTATTTTGTAATACGCCCACTATGGTATTCATGCACCATTACTGAACAGGTCTGATTCTTTTCCAGGACGATAATCCTGTCATGCACCCTGGCGCTGTCCAGCCTACACGACATCGGAGGCGGACCAATCTGGCCGCTGGTAGCGGAACTGGGCGGAGGGATTATAACGGAACCGTCCGAAGTAGGCGGAACTACGACAACGGAAGATCCCGAAGTCTCCACGACACCTGCGCCCGGCAAGCCCCCGCACTGCGCGCGCCTCCTGTGGTGGCTTGTGGCCGGGTATTTGGGCCTGTTGGTCGCCTCTATGCTGTTGGAAGCCATGGTGTGCATGGTCGCAATTCGTGGCAGCGTGCTGGAGACCAGCAAGAGGGCTGCCATGCAGTACATACTCTACCTCAGATTAAGTAAGTAAAATTGATGAAATACAAAAGTGGTGGGGTTGTATATACTTCGTACAGTGTTACTGGCAATTCACCGTATTCCTACGAAGGTGTGACAGGGGAGCTAAAATTCAATAATTTTTGACACTTTTCAATCTTTGAAATGTAACAACCACTCAAAATAGGGTATTTGAGCCTATATAATAATAATAATAAATGATTTTTATCACCAAGATAAGCACACACTCTAGCTACTTTTGTGCCAAACGGCAGAATTCGGATCTTACTACCCTATAGAAAGATCCGCTCTTCCATTTAACCGAAAGAAAATCCGTAGGTTTCATATGAAACAGTCATCGGCCAATAGAAAACATTTCATTGTTTTTCTGAATAAATTCATAGACCTTCGGTATGAAATCGGTACCTTATTATACAGCCGTGCGACATCGTAAGGAAATGAATCTTTGAATGGCTGAGAGTGTGTTATTTTGTAAACAATTTTGTTATACAGATAAGCAGGAGTTTGTTTGGTGATAATCTAATAAAACATTCAAACTGAATGCAGGATTTTATCCGTAACAGACGTAGGCTGGAATAGTTTTGAGAATCATGATCTCTCTCTAATAAAAACAACTATGTAATAAATGCATAGGAACTCAATTAATTTTTTTAGTTATATATACAATCATAAAAGGTGCAAAAATACTGAACTAAATCCTGCCAACTCAGCCTTTGTTCTTAGTTTTCCATAGATCGAAACCATGCCTAGCTCTAACAACTGCTCTAAAAAAGCGCAGCCTGGAAAGGGAATGCAAATCTGTATGGACAACCGAGAGGTTCGCATTTATCGGAAATTGTGAAAAATAAACATAAGCATTTGGAATATCATTTAGTTAATGGATTATTATTTGACCTAAATCAACTTGATTGCCTGTTTTTAAGTATTAAACGCTTTCATACTGATATTGTATTCCTGACTATATACTGGAAAGCTTTTTAGTAATTTGTACGCTCAGCGTACTCGCACTTTTTAGAGCTAGTCACAGTTTTAATTTAAGTAAAAAGTATGAAAACTAATCCTACGCACCCATTACACAGTTTTTACCTAGACTACCTAGACTATAATGCCCAATTTTGGGTGATTTTTAATACATCATAGACACTTTAAAATTTAGAAAACATGTGATTCTTTACCATTCATATATAGGGTGAAAATAATTTTAGAAAAGAAAATGCTTGCTTATGTTATCAGAATGTAGAGCTATGGAAATTATATTTTATAAGGGATATTCTCCAATTGTTCCCTTTGTTATACTATTCTCTAAACGTCCATTGTTTCGCCCAAAATATTCAGTTACCTTTTAACACAATTGCGACTCAATAGCACCAATAACTTGAGAAATGCTTTGTTTCTGGTCATTATACAACATATTGTTGGGACAAATTGGATAACCGAAAAAAATACAATATATTTTGTTAACAACATTGTTATTTCTGGCATTCCTCAGTACTTGCGAAATAGGCATTTGCAGCGAATATTCAGGACCGGAGTAGAAGAGATCCATTTCTGCTACAAGTTCCTAAATACACCAGCTTCTTTCAGAACTCTTTTTTCTACCTTCCTGCGGCTCTCTATATTTCCTTGACAACAAATCAATATAAAGTATCTGAAAAGCATACCATCCTTTGAGTTTACTGTCAAAAATGTACGAGTACCTATTATCTTCTCAACAACTATTTTGTCTGCAGTTGGAAAATATAAATTATACCTACTTGTTTCTATTTTATTTTCTATGTTAGTCTAATTAAGTTGGAATGTATTAAGAATCCTTTGACTATACTTAAATAAGGGTAGGCTTATTAAATTAAATTATTTAAAATTCACGAGAGTTGCATATTTGCAGTAACGCTATTTGTTAGTTTGACTCTCATAATTTTCATGAAAAAAACCATAGTGATTTTTCTTACTACGTTTACACAATTGGTGCTAAATTTACATACTGGGACATGATTTATTTTTTAATTTTTCTTTGTGGGATATGTTTTTTTGGTCGGTCAAAATTAGAAACTGGCGTTGAACTTGATGCTCTTGTGGGTCTTTTTACACAGTGGTGTACCAGGAAAAATAAGAGCAAAAAAACTCTCAAAAGTTTCATAGCCAGCCCACGTAAGTTCCTTCAATATTGTAGGAGGCTCTTACAGCCTCCTTGATTTTCATAGTTTTCTACTGTTCCGTGTCAGCGTTCTATTTTGAGGTTATGTTACAAATAACTATTTGCATCAAATTGTTCACGCTTTTGATTTATATCATCTGTTATATCAGCTTGAAATTTCCTACCATTATAATATAATAAAAATAACGTAGCCTCACAATAGGAGAGCACTGACACGGAGCAGTAGAAATCTAGAAATTCCCCAGCCTTTCTGGAGGAGAGAAAATACTATGAAAATCAAGGATTCCATAAAAGCGTCCTGCAGTTGTTGGAATGACTAACGATACGGTATAAATATAGATAAATCCCCAAATGATTGAAAAAAATCGTGAACATCTAGATAAAGGACTACACAGCTTTTTTATTCAGTAATGTAGTAAAATCCTGCAGACCAAAATATCTATCATGATGTATCAGGAGGTAATAGCCTAATAGCATATAAATAAGAGCTTACTACTAGCACAGGCAGTTATAGCTGAAAGAGGTTTAGATGCTATTTCTACATTTCTGTTGTAATAAAATTTTAGTGGCGGTTAAACTCTTCATGGGAGGATCTCTATAACTGCCTGTGTCCCACATTCTCTGGTTATAAATCTTAGTCCAGATTTTAACTGACTTTACACCCATGAAATTCATTTTTTTATGTGGTCTTGCCGTCCATGCATATGTTTCGCTATGATAACTTTGATATTACCATGATAATTTCGATATAGAAAACAGAATCAGGTTTCGAAATGGTGTATTTACCACAGCAAGACGACCTAACAGTTAATTTCAAGGGTTGAAATTCAGTTAGACTCATGCCCGTACTACTGACTGTGCGTTACCGATATGGAAAAATGTTACAAATTCTTTACCTTTACCGTTTGTAACATTTTTCTTTAATAAATTGTTATATTTCGTTAATTTCTATTTTCAGCTGTGATGCTTGTCGAAGCCGGGTGGCTGTCATTGGGCATTGCCTGGCTTGTAAAATATTATTTAGTTTGCCCTGTAGATAACGCTAAAGAAATTGTTTTAGGTAAGTATTTTACTTTAAATTTACATGAGATTTGCTTTCTCCTAACACAAATCATTACAATTATCGTTACTAATCTTAAACCAGTTCTATCATAATGTAGAGAATTGTGTAGTGGAAGTAATTTTGATATACAGTGCGTTTCAAAAAATCCTCCTTCCCTACTTATTTTTATATGGACCATAGAATAAAAGATTTTCAAAGTAGAGGACTGGTGGGCTGTCAAAGTTGGGCGCTTATACATTGAATCGCATATAATTCAATCATCAAAACGTTATATCTCTATATTCTTCTCCTTTTGGAAATATCTACCTGGTAGGCCATAAAATATATCATGTTTAGTATCATAATACTGATTGTGATCTCTGATATGAAATGTTCCATATTTCTTTAAATATTCGGATAGATCCTTCCAAGACAAGCAGATTGATATAACATAGTATAGAGTTTTTATATAAAAAAGCAATGTACAAAAACTCTAAATTTTAGTAGTCTTCCATTCCGCCATTTTGGATGATAGTGGTTTCATATTCTAAGGTTATAAGTTACTCATAAGAAGCTTCAAAAGGAGGTGTCATATGACCCTCCATTCTAGTTAAAACATGAGATTTTAATTGCCATTTTACGCTAAATTATATTAGTCATTCCCAATTACACTGCCCCGAGTTCCGATTATAAAAATTATTAGATTATAGAAGTACAGTATATTTTGATTTTTATTATTACCGTTTCTCTCATATATTTACCGTCTCACGGATGTTTGGGTATTTCGGAACTCATCAGATTTGACTAGGGTACTATGTAACAGGATTGAGGAAAACCTCTATTCTCTAAACGTATGTGCCCAAGATCAGTATCATATTAGGGATAAAATAGCCAACATCAACCAAATTAGTGGCTGAGAGAATACAATAAATTGCAAACATTCCTTCGGAATCGTTGACTTACAGTCCCGAAATAGTTCAGTGGATATTTAATATTTTGAGATTTGAGTGGCATTTATGTTAATTTGCGTTGTTAGTTCATGTTCTATTGCCAAAAATATTTTACGTTTAACTGGGACGCTGCTGTTTAAGTATAAGCAAACTGTTATACATTTAAAATAAATTTGTAGCCTCCGTCACAGAAGTTTCAGCAACGAACATGTATCCTTCTGAGTCGAAAGTAAAATAACAGTGGTATTTAAAAAATCCATGTTGTATCTTTAGCCATGGATGTTGTTCAATCAGTTAATGATCATGGTGCCTAGACATGTGCATGTTATATTATTTGTCATCGTAGTATCCGTGAGGTCTAAAATAAGATGGTAAAATTCAACGACTGACTTGAGGTCATACATTTAAACATAATGGAAATAAATTATTCAAGCATATAAAACACTTCGAGAAGTTCAAAGTTCCTAGAAAATTATTCATTTCAGGTGTGGTGATATTCAACTGGTGCATCCTTCTGTCAGTGATAATAACAGTATGGTGTACGTACGACTCAGCAGGAAGGTCATGGGTGAAGATGAAGAAATACCAACGATCGATGCGGGAGTCGGAATCCAAGTTTCAGTATAAAAGGTCCGGTAGTACCAGAAATTGGAGACAGAGGTGAATAAAATGATGCAACACAACGTATACGGTGGTATATTGATGTTGTGTCTGCTTGCTAGCTGATTGCTGATGACATGCTATGCGATTTTGTTCTCCTCTAGTTTCTATCAATTTTGCATTTGTTTGCTGATTGTGTCTGATACTTTTTTTTGTGCGCCAAATAATGATCCTTTTTCTATTCTTCTGTTTTATATACAGAAAAATGTCGTATACAGTGTGTCCCAGATTCGCTTCTTCTATACAGTGATCCTGGCTCCTATTATACCTACAGCAAAGGTTAAATGGGGAAAGTTTTAGAGGAAACTTGGTGCATTCGATAGCCGGCTTCATATGTCCAATTTGTTCTTTTGCCAGTTAATCCGAAACGGTTAATTTGACAGCTGTCAAAATGTGACATTATTCGGCCATTCTTGTAAAGCAAATAAGATAGCATGTACGACAGTCTAGTGGTGTCTCATAAGTGCATGAGAGATTGGAGTATCATCGAAATATCACCACACGTAAAGTTATGTATTATTTTTTTTCTCTAAGGAGGCCATGACTTATTTATCAGAAAATAAAATATTTATCAGAAAATAAAATTAATAAGTAACGCATTTTTTTCATTTAAGGAGGCTCTGACTTTGACGTTAAATAATTCAGAGTTTTAAAATAAATCTGTCAACAAAAATTTCAAAGTCTGTTAAAAATGGCCGGTATTTCCTACTCAAATGAAGAAAAGTTTGACATGTTATGGCTGTACTTGCAGTCATACAGAAACGCTGACATTACCTCAGCAAAGTACTTGGAGATGTAGCCCGAACGATGGCAGCCTCATAAAACTCAGTTTAGAAAAATAGTAGTTAATTTAATAAACCATGGGGACTTCGAACAACCTAGAAGCGGATGAAAATCGCGACAAAAACATTTTACAAGATGTCAACGAAATCCCTTGTGCATCAGTAAGAACTATAGAACGATAAATTGTTGTGTCAAAATCAACAGTACAGAAAGTGTTAAATAAGAATCAGTACCATTCATACAAACCTACAATAGTTCAAGGACTCAACGGATTTTCCAAGGCGAATGCGCTTCTGTGAGTGGTATACTAGGAAGTCTAATGAAAATCCTGATTTTGTTAATCATGTCTTGTGGTCCGATGAGTGTAGGTTTACAAATTGTGGAGTTTTTAATAAGCACAACACTCATCATTGGGCTGTGGAAAACCCTCACGAAGTGGCGGAGAGACGCCTACAGACCAGATTTGGAACTAACGTTTGGTGTGGGGTCATTGGTAATTTAATATAACTTACCTTTTTTAATTGGGGAACTATTTGAAATTAGGCATTAATGACTTCAGGAAATCGACTTATAGGACCATTTTTGTTTGACTACAACCTAAACGGACAGAGGTACCTAGAGCTTTTGCGAAACCAGGTTGTGCCGGCTTTACTAAATTATTATTCAATATCTCGACCTCCTAGATCCCCTGGCCTTTCACCCTTGCATTTCTTCCTCTGGGGTCACACAAAGAATGAGGTGTATGAATTAAATCCTCCCGCGACCATAGAAATCTTGAGACAAAGAACTTTGAGCACAGTTAGAAACATTAACATAAATAAACTAGCTAAGGTTGTACGAAAAACAATCACCAATTGTTAAAAGTTTCTGGATGCAAATGCACGTTATTTTGCAAATCTGTAAATTAATACCAACTTACATAATTAGATTTTAAACTACATTACAATTTTGTAAAATGTTCATTTGTTCAAGTGTAGAATAAGTTTACGACGATTTTTCTTACTTGTTTTTTTAACACACTCATAGTTGGGAATTTGTCCCAAAACATTTGACTTGTTAAGAAGCCGATATTAACGTTAATATTCTATTGAAAATTTATGTTGATGTTATTTTCTGACAAATAAATCATGGCTCCTTAGAAAAAATCTAATTCATAACATTACGTGGATGATATTTCAGTGATACTCCAATCTTTTATGCACTTGTGAGACATCACTAGACTGGAAATTTTACATTGTTTCCAAAAATCAAAAAAGTCAAAGACGATTGAGACATGTCATACATGCTATCTTATTTTTCTTAAGAAAATGTCCAAATAATGTTACACTTTTACTGCTGCCAAATTAACCGTTTTGGATTGACTGGCAAAAAATCGCCATTGGCTATCGAAAGCACTAAGTTTCTTCTGAAACGCTCCCCATTTAAATTTTGCTGTAGGTATAACAGAAGCCGAGATCCCTGTATAGAGAAGCGAATCTGGGACACACTTTACACCCATTTTATGGATATTTTTGTAATTTCAGAAAAATGTCCACAGATATAATACAAAAGTCAGAGAGCTACTGGAAGTTGAAACATTGAGCTGCTGCATTCAACGTGAAGCGGTCTAGCTGTGCTGCGCTTTTATGCAGTCAAATTTGATAGTTTGTTGGTTAAATGTTCCGAATTATCAAAGCTATTCCACGGCTACTGATATTCAGCATAAAAACGCTCCACCTTTAAGTTGGCTGAACGCGCTCATTGATTTTTCATGGTTCATCCAGTACGTTTTAAAATAGACAAGCATATTACATACGCGAATTTTACTAAAAATCTTTTATCTATGTCAAAAATGGACGCATATAAAAAAGTAGATTCTAAATAACTAAAATCTAAATTCCATCAAATTCGTTTAACCTTCACATAAAAGAGGATCTACCCAATATGATTCAATACCTCTAAAATATCCAATGATGATGTTGGAGCCTGCTTTATTATTTACTTTCAATACCCAATGACCTTCCTTACCATGCATCTATCCAGCATATTGTAATTTTTTACTACTTTCATGGGTTGTTTATTAATGATAGCTTATCTTATGTCGCTGTATCCTAATCGCTACTGCAGATAAAACTTTAAAGAACCAAAAGAAATGCCTCATAACAAATACATATGTATGTAAAATAACAAACACAATGCAGTGTTTATCCACGATTTTCTCGAAATTTGAGTAAGATTCAGAATTTTTATGTAAACCTGTATATTGTATCTCATAAGGATTCGAGGTTATATGCAGCTTGTTTACAAACCCGTAGTAATCGTTTAATTAATATATACACTTATTTGAACTTGATGCACACATAGATATATAATTTTATAGAAAAGTTCTCAATAACTTCACTTTCTGTATGTTACCTTCGTTGTACAACATTTTTCTTCACTTTAATCTGACCAGACGTTTATACCATTAAACACGGCAAGGTGACAGAATCTTTTCAAATAAATTATTATTATATTTCCGAAGCCTTGTGCATTTTTCGAGGCAATACTATATTTGGAGTGTATGACGATAATAACTACATATCTGTTGAAGAAGAATTGTCATTATCGTTAAACATAAGTAGTGATTTTCGTAAAAAGCTACATTCACAGTTCAAGTGTAGATAAATAATTATGTGTATGGCAAGCTGGTTTGATTGACGCATCAGACAGTTGATTTACGGAAACAAGGAACCATATAGCTACAAGGTTCTCCAATATAACCGTAGTAGCTTTGATTAACGTATTCTACCTGAAGATAGCCAACTTAAATACTATATTCCAGCGTTCAAAAAATTATCCAAGATGAAGTGAGATACCATGGCGACATATATGAGACAGATATGTTTCTCCTCTCTGCAGTAATTAGAAATCTTCTTGTATGTATCTCGTAGATGGCTTATAAAGGTACTAACCTAATTGGTTAGAGGCGTATCTATGAGACACTAACCTTTTTCAAAACATATCTCTAATTTCTAATAATTTCTTGGGCGCTGGAATATGGTATTAAGTTGGCTATCTTCAGGCAGAATATGGTACATGAATCAATGATAATAGTAAATCCGTTAGTGCATGTTAGGTTTTATATATTTATTAGAATACCTTCGATCTCTAAATTTATTGTAAGCTGCATCGTTTACAGTGTTTTCACCAACCACCGTTTTCTTAGAAGATTGGAAATGTGATGAAGTGAGAAATTCTGCCATCCGCTTCTATTGCGAAGTGATTTCTTAACTTGTTTCACTCCTAGATATCAAACACAAAAACCAAGAAATCTCCATTTCTGATCAAATCATATATACTATCATTATAATAGAAGCAAGAAAAATTTTTATCAAGTAGGTTGACCCCGCGCTTCCTACGCAATGCTGTCATCAATTCATTAGGGATTATATTCGCCATAAGTTAGTCCCCTTTTAAGGGCAAATGCACGGCAACCTGAGTTGGAAACGTATAAATTGCTAGTGGATAAAAATTGACATATACTCTCCTCCACCGCTTACAACCTCCAACATAACATTTTTAACCCCTGCATCATTTTTCCTTAAAACAATCTGGAGTCTCTGATATGTTATAAAATGAAACTTGAGCGATTTTTATTTTTTTTTCAATGATTTTGCTCCTAGCTTCGCCGATTTTCAAAATGCACAATGCATTTTAGTCCCTGGCATAATAGTGTGACATTTTCATTCAAATCCAAGCAATACTTTCCAAGTTATAGGCGGACCAAAGTTTAGCAGACAGGCAGACCGACAAATAGACAGACAGAACAACAGATAGTCTAATCTTATTAGCAAATTTCCCGGAAAAAATTGAAAAGTCTGGTTTTATTGGTGCAAGTTGTTCGAGGGGGTATTTAAAACATGGAGGCATAAAATGGGTACACCAATGTTTGTGGGAAAACTTTTTATTTGACAACAAAGAATGAGTAATCGTGTTTTTTGGGATTCAATCGAAAGTGTTGAGAGGACCGACAAACGTTTTCATATGTATAAGATTCTTAGGTATATATGAGACCTACAAAATGAGACCACGCGTAAAAAGATCCGACTAATAGCAAAAATGTTATGGCCGAAAAACAAGGCAAAATGCAGGTTTTGGTACTTGGTAGTGCGACGATAATTTCACACAACTACTTGAAATTCTTTAAATCCGTAGGATTCATACTTCTAAATAATAGCAACAAAATTGGAGTATTTTGCTCAAGTAGTTTTTTGAGAATTTCTGATTGTTTATTCCAAAACACTTGTTTTCCGGCCATCACTACTAGTTTATTGAGCAATATATGTACAGGGTTCGTTCAAAGAGCATTTAATAGCAAAATACACGTGTTTTCCTTGCAGGTATGAATCACAAACCATTCCGAAAGATAAATGTTGTTTTTATGCGAAAAACAAAGGTTACGTATTTTTCTTCTAAACAAATTCAAACATTTCGTATTTGTGAGTAACTGAACAAATGCGCTACGATGTTCAAAAATCTTACGTTACTTACTATACACATTTTAAAACAAAGCGGATGTGTCTATCATCTTTTGCTACGAATTACTCACAAATACGAAATGCTTGAATTTTTTTAGAAGAAAAAACCTAACCCATCCTTTTTTGCATAAAAATAACATTTATCTTCCGGAATAGTTTACGATTCACATCGGCAAGGTAAACTAGTGTATGTAGCTATTAAATGCTCTTTGAAAGAACCCTGTATATTACTCAATAAACTAGTAGTGATGGCCGGAAAACATTTGATAAACAATTAGAAATTCTCAAAAACTACTTAACCAATCTACTCAAATTTTGTTGCGGTTATTTAGAAGTACGAATCCTACGCATTTGAAGAATTTCAAGTATCTACGAGAAAAAATCGTTGCATTACCAGCAAGTGCCAAAATCCAGTTTGCCTCGGTTTTTGACCATAACTTTTTTTGCTATTAGTGGGATCTTTTTTCGTGTAGTCTCATTTTGTAGGTCTGATAAATACCTAAAAATCATATATGAATAGTTTTTCCGTTCCTGTCAACACTTTAGATTGAATCTCAAAAAACACGTTTTCTCATTCTCACTTTCCCACAAAAATTGGTGTACCCATTTTATGCGTCCATGCTTCAAATACCCCTTTGAACAACTTGCAGCAATGAAACCAGACTTTACAATTATTTCGCAAACCAGGGGTATTTGCGTCTAATATGACTAAGACAGACATCTCGTTTTCAACATTTTTCGCGATTACAATATCCATAGCTATTTCAATACCACCCCGCCCAGTGGCGTAGAAAGTAAAAATGCGGTCAAATAGTACTGTTTGCTGTACAATCACATGAAGAGTTTCTCCAAGTAAGAGCACCAATAATCTACAAGGAAATGTGCGGTTATTCCATTTGCTGTTCATTTGCCTAGACATCAAACACAATTTTATTAAGGTGTATGGTCAGATTGCGTTGTGTATATTACTAGCCTTGCCTTTTAGCATTTTGATATCAAGTAAGAACCGTAGAACCTAGTATATTGATTTTGTAGACAATTTTTTAGTTTGCATCGTAGGTGCATGTATCCTCAAGACTCTGAGTCCAATTCAAATTGAAAGTTAACTATTATCTACCTAATCCTGATTTCTATACAGAGCGTATGTAACCTCAGCATAAGTTTGTAGATAGCTGGGTTCTACAATCTATTTTGGTACTCGTAATCGATATTCATAATGACTACACCTTTTAACTTACTCAGGAAAGTATTGCGAGCCTACCAAGACAGTTGGCAAAATAGATGCCGATTCCTCTTCTGTTGTTCTACCGCCAGCGATAGAAACAGAAACTCATTCGCCGACATCGCTCGTCTTCTGTCAGACTTCTTCAGGGACCTGGATGTCGTACCGTCTGATGTCATCGTCGGTCTGGTGCTTCTCAGGAAGTTTCAGAAGATTGAACAGAAAGCCATTGTTGAACAGGTTAGTTAGAAGAGTCAAATTTTTGTTCGGCGGGAAGATTGTTGACTACCGAATTCAGTTTTCTTAAACAAACGATTGTTACTGGTTATGTCTTAACTTTGCGCGTGTTTCATAAATCCTATCACTGCTATTTTGATTTTCTTATAAGTACTAAGGCCATTTTTAAAGTAAGAACCGATTGCGCATCGTGACCGTGTATCCTGTAACAAGACGTCCGTTCAACCTCAGACACTCTGGGTCAGTATCTCACTACGTCTCTGTCTATGTTGGTTGTATAGTTATACTGCTTTGTTTCTCGCCATGTCGATCAGTAAACCCTCTGATTGTGAAGTGTGCTCAGTAATTCAGTTTTTAACGCAAAACTGTCCTTCCTGATGAAATTCACCAGAAGCTTGCTGAATTAGGCGCACTCTCCAGCGGCGCCGCTCTGCTTCACGACAACGCTCAGCCTCACATTGCGGCAAGAACATATACGCAGCTGGTCAAGTTTCGTTGGCAATTACTGGATCATCCACCAGACAGCCTTGACTTAGCACCATCACACTTTCATATTTTTCCAAAACATGAGGAATTTCTTGGTAAAAAGCACTTCTTGGAATATGACATGTTAAAAGAAACAGTTACTAACTGGTTTAACGGACAGGCGAAAGCGTTCTTTAATGACGAGATCTTAAAGCTATCGCCATGACTTTACAATACTTGAATGTTTATGGTGACTATGGTGGAAAATGTAAAAAATGCTGATATTTCAGTTTGTGATAAAATTTACGTTCATAAATAAAGTCTCTGTCGGCATTACGAAACATTTTTTACTTGAAAAAAGGCCCTCGTACGTCCGCGTTAATTTAGATAATTTTGTAATTCTACGTATTATCGATTTAAATGTTCAAACCAGCTGCAAGCACATGTGCGCCGGCTGTACACGTACTTTGAACAACATGTGCCTGCAGGTTATTCAAATGGAAATGTACCTGTCCGGGCATATGTACTGCAATATATTGCAGACCCTCAGAACGTCTGGTGAATGTTTTGTCCATATAAATGTGTTGAGCACATGTTGCAGACCATAAAGTAATAACGGTTTATACCATGATGCCTACTGCAGTGGCTTGATGCATTTTTGTCCCTGGCGCTTGTACCGCAGACTGTTTCCATTTTTGTTTCATAAGTTAGCACATGCCGCGGTACTTCCCAAGTAGGACAATTCTATCTTAAATACGTTTTTTGAGATATTAGAGGCGTATTAAGGACGCATTTGGAATGCCGTACGATATCGTAATGTAAATACGTCGTGTGTTATGAAAACTGAGCGTCTTAAGGATGTCCTTATAATACGTTCGGTCTTTAGTATTGTTAAAAACACATAATAAAAAAGGCGCAGCGCAATGGCGGTCTTTTTGGGCGCTGGCCAAGCAGATTGAAAGGTGCTTCTCGGACAGTAGCCTTCCACCACTTACGTGTCAGGATGGAACGATTGTAACAGACTCAAAGGCCAAGGTGGCAGTACTTGCCAAGATCTTTGCTGCCAACTCCTCTATGGACGTCCCCCCAACGCCCAAGTGCTGTCGATTCAAAGGGTTCCTTACACTATGCGGGAAGTAACATTCAGGCATAAGACCGTCAGACGGTTGCTGTTGTCGCTCGACATCAACAAAGCTTCTGGACTGATTCCTGCCATTATACTGAAGAGGTGTGCAGCGGAGCTTGCTCGAGTTCTTTCGCGTCTCTTCCAGATGTCTTATGAAACCGGCACGTTCCCAGAAAACTGGAAATTTGCATCCCAAAAAAGGATCTAAGACAGACTCTTACAGGCCTATAGCTCTGCTTTCTGTTATAAGTAAGGTGATGCTACTGGATTATCTCGAACGTCACGGCTTGATTATCGACAGACAGTATGGTTTCCGGCACCAGCGATCCACCTCCCAGCTTACATCACACAATTGTGGAGTAAACTCATCCATCCTTATGGTGAGGTTCAGGTCGTTGCTCTCGATATCACGAAAGCATTCGATCAACTGTAGGTGGGTGGCTGACTTTCTCTCTGGCCGCAAGATATCCGTCACATTTGACGAGTACTCCTCTTCATCCCACAACGTCAACGCGGGTGTTCTCCATCTTGGCTCCGACACTGTTCTTCTTACATATCAACGAACTCCTTTCCCGAATGATCAATCCAATCCACAGATTTGCTAATGACAGCACTCTACATGCAGGAATTCAGAGTGACAAGCCAATCTCTGCCGCTGAGCTGACAACAAAGAAGACTAGCGAAGACTTCCTCTCTGACGAGAGACCTGGGGTTATCACTGCTTGGGGACGCAACAATCTTGTACAGTTCAATACTTCCAAAACACAGCACTGTACCTTGACGAACAAAAAGCGTCCTAGCGCTCATCCCGTTCCGATGGATGGCCGAGTTATGCCAAAGAGAACGGTCACTTCGGCTGGTCGGAGTCCAGATGACCGAGCACTTGATCTGGCACGAGCATATCTCGTCAATAGCGGCGGCTGCTCGGAAAAAGCTAGGCTATTTGTTTAGGGCTAAGAAGTACTTTTCTCCGCATAACCTTCTCACTCTATATAAGGCCCAGATAAGGCCTAGCCTCGAGTATTGCTCACACGTTTGGGGCGCTGCCGCTCGAACTACATTATTTATGCCCGATGCTATCCAGAGGAGGGCTTTCCGACCGATCGACGACACTTTTCTCAGTCGAACCATTTCGCACCGGCGGGCAGTCGGCGATCTAACTCTCTTTTACCGCTACACCAACGGGCTTTACTCATCACAGCTCTCTTCCATGATGCCGGCGCACGATGTGCCTGCCAGACAGACCCGCCTGACTGTGGCCTCCCATCTTAACCGGTCGAACGTCGTACGTTCAGAACTGGCCGATTCGACCGCTCCTTTGTCCCGAGGGTGTCGAGATTGTCGAACAATCTACAAGAGGAAGCTTTTCCCAGTTTTACTAACCTTAGGCAGTTTAACAATCGGATTAACAAAATTTAGGCTTCTGCCTGCGCGGCTGATTCGGTATAAAAAAAAGAAAAATTGAAAAAGAAAGTTATAAAAACAAGTTAATTTCTTGTCAAACTTTTTTGTGTGGCTGTGCGGTGATCCGAAGCTCACCTTAGCCGAGCTCCAGTTGCTGTTCCGTAAACTTTTTTTAATTTTGTAATCTAAAGTTTGTTAGTTACGGTCCTTTTCTACTATTTAGTATGATGTCTCATTCAAAACAAATCATCTTAAATACTAGTAATTAAGGCATAAGTGTAAGCCTTAGAGTACGGTTTCGCTCCACTGTGCACTCTATATTTGCACAAATTAATCAAAAAGTCTCAAAAGATACAAACCAAATTGAACAAATACCTTGCTTGCCGCGGTGGTGGAAACCACCTGGCTCGTCGATTGTAGGTATTCGCGAAAACAGTTGTTGTAGTTGTGCAAGTTCTATATTCTTGAAAGACGCCGGTATCATTTTTTTAACACTTTTTCCAAGGAAAACAAGCTGAAAACATAAGGCGGCCAAGAAACTTTTGCCAGAAGATTGACATATGACAGAGCTATTGTATATGTTGCAGAGGTAAATGTTTGCTCTCCTTAAACTACTCGTCGTCATCTGGTGGCCAATTATAATTAGTTAAAATAGAATGTTCCCGATAAATGTTGGCGTTTAAATGCTTCCAGAAAAAGACAATCGTGCTTAAAAAATACAAATATATTAAAACTTTAGCGACTTGTTCTTCTGAATAGTATAGCATAAAAATAGATGAATCTTAAAAAAGTGTTAAACATAAACTGAATATATTTTCTATCGTCGTTCACTAATACTTCTATACTTCTAACTTTTCAAAAAGCATTCTAAGAGAAAACGTCTTAAAGATGTTTGTTTTATGACGAGATGGAACGTCCGTAAAACGTCGCAACAAAGTTATCATACAGACGTATTTTTGATATCTCAGGGTTTCAGGCATTATAAGTGCATAAAATTGACGGCAGATGTGCTATCTGTTGCAATAGAAACGTAGCTTTAGTATCTCTTCGAAAATTTTCTCCATCGCTCCACTCTCTACCGGGCGACATCAGTAGGGACTTCTTAAATCACATCCTAGGGTTTTGAAAAAGAACCTAATTCTCGTAGGTCTATTTGGAAAATAAAGTGTTGCTAAACGGTCACGCAACACTTACAACATCAAGAGCACTGGAACAAAATCGACATTTGCAGATGTTCATTATTTAATTAGTAAAATAACCCACTGTGTAATTTGCAATTAGCACTAATGAATTAGAGTATTTGAGTAAAGATTAGGCAAATGCAATTAGCTGGATCTGGCATGATCTCTCATTATCTTTGTATTTGCTATCCATACTTAACGTGTCCATATGCCCCTATGCTTGGATGGAATCGTCAATTTTTTTGGTTCTCCGTGCGTATGCTACAAATACTTGGTGACGCAAAATTTTCTAGTTTTACGAACCGCGCGTAAATAGGCTGGCCTGTCAGTCAGTGCCCCAGACAGGTCTTTGAGCATCTCTAAGCCATGTGCCATATATTGAATACAAACTGTTTACACTTTACAACACATTTAACATGTAACGGTACTAATAACCGTCAAACTTTTGTCAATCGACTAATGATGATTGCAATAAATTGTAAATTAGTGAATGAATCTAGCTGTAGTCCCCAAACGGGTTGAGTTATATCACCCAAAGGTGACCTTGACTGTGACCTCCACCTTTGAGTGATTCCAACAACCCTCATAACTGTATTGTCGAACATTTTTGCTAGAGCAAATTATTTTCGATGTTTTGATTTCACCTTGAAGTGGCCTTGAAGACCATGGCTAATGTCATGGTCAAAGTGATATTCGGACGTAAACTTTTTTTCTGTTTTTAATTGGACATGAAAAAGGGGGGTTTTGTTTGAAAAAATTCACTTACCTTGGAATGTCCTTGAATGTCGTAGTCAAGGTCACTGTTAAAGTCATTATTTTGTTTTCTCGAAACCGTACAACTTTTGTATACAGTCAATTTATTTGACCCTATTTGTTCTAGCGAAAGAACGACACTTACGAATTCCTATCCGGCGTAGCGATAACTCCCAGGACCCAGTTCCTTGCCCTCCACGAAGATGGTCCCGATCTGGAACTCTTCCAAACAGTCATACATTTTGCTCAATTTGCTGTTAGGGCTTATGGTTGGCCCATCTATATGATGACTACTAGAATGGGCATGTGTCATCTGTGCGCGGGTCTCAGGTAAGTTAATCTGAATCCTTTCAGCAATAATAAATAGAAAAGTTCACTTTAAAGTGGTTAAGTATGACAATGTTTTGGAATAATTGATTTCATCAATTGCTGTATACAGGGTTTCCTGAAAGGTGGGACATTTATTTTTAGAAGCAACTACATTTGAAAATACAAAATTAATATGCGCTGAAACAGCAGTGAAGTATTGAAGAAAACTGTCTCATTGTTCATGGATAGGATATTTCATTTTCATTCCATTAAAAATCACTGATTTGTTATCTTTTCCTTCAGTTTTAGAAATTCGGGACTGTCTAGATGTTCCACTGAGCCAATCTCGACGTATCTGCAAAAAGCCTATATACCTAGCTGTTTGTACGGGATAAACAAACCTACACGGCTCTGGATGGAAACCTCCAGGTCACACGGTGAAGCTTAATGAATTAAGATGCAAATTTACAGCAACATATGTATTTTCTTGTACTGAAATAATAGAGTCACGAATTAACCCTTTCTTTTTTTAACCAAATTACTGCTTTTTGTAAAAATATATTTATAGGGTTAATGGTCATTCGCTCTATTCCTTCTAGAATGTGATAGGGGTCCCTATATACAGGAAACGAGGGATCGACCAATCGTGTACTTTTCAAATTATAGGCTTTAAAAATATCTAAAAAATCGGAATATTTATACCTTGTGATGTATTCTTACTACAAATTTCAATTTTTTCACAGACCGAGAGACGAACATCAGTGTCATTCTAGGTAGTGACAGGGAGACAGATAATAACGTCACGTTTATTAATTCGTGAATGTATTTCTTAAATTCACAACTGCCTTCCTGCAGAAGCAATGAAAGCTTGGCATCTTGCAAATCTCTTAAAAATGATAGGGTTATCAGGTGGGCGAATCTTCCGTTATTCACAAATTTAGCTGCTTCCGTTATTCTATCCCATAGCTCAACTAAATTTAGATTGGCTTTCAGTAAACTTTGTCTTTCCCATTTTTTGAAAATTGTGCGGCAGAAATCAAACTATACTCCAGATCTTAAACTATATTTTTGTTTCAGTTGTTACTGTTGCATACCTTGCAGAAAACCCAACGATGTAGATCCAGAGTTAGTCGAAGACAACTGCTGTCACTGCAACTATGCAGCTTTGCAACGATTGACAGCTTTGGGTGACATCGAGATTATATATGCCACCTACCACGTTGATGTGGGGCAAACACCGTTCTTTGTAGCGTTAGATTACGATAGAAATAAAATTGTGATAAGCATCAGAGGCACCTTGTCCATGAAGGTGAGAAATATGAATATGAACTATTTGATCGTAAAGATGGTTGTCTTCGATCGTTCCCCACTTTAAAATTAAAAATAGTGACTAGATTTAACTGCAAGAGAACGAAAAGCTGTAGTACCTCTCAGACGCTTTACTACAACTTGATGACATGATAATATATAAGCAGGTGATTTTTGGCCCCATTTTAAGGAGAACAATTCATATGAACGTAAAAATATGTCCTAAACGACTTAACCTTTGAGATACAGGGCGGCAAGATTCTTAGAACAAAAATCTGTATTTTATAATAATTGTGGTTCTATTGTAGATATTTTTATGAAACTCAGTATATATCTTCTATGCATCAAGCTGCATTGAATATTTTTGGAGAAAAAATGATACACGACTGCTTTATCTTTAAATAAAAACCATTATTGAAATCTTCATTTATTTCTGAGCAAATTTCATCTCACAATTTTCTTTACTTCAAGGTAAAATGGCTAAAAACGTGATGCGGTGATGATTGTTTTTTCTCATTTTTAAGCTATTGAGTCTATTTAATGTCAAGAACGGTACATCTATAAGAATTTTTTTTTTGAAATTCTCATTTATTTTTGACCAAATATGATTATCCATTTTTTTAGCTGATGCAAAAAAGATGAAGAAACACGATATCCGCATAGCGGTTACCGCATGGGGCTTTTAAGGGTTTTTATTATTTTAAATGAAATCATTGCGTGGGACGGAAAAAAATCAAAAGATCAAGTTTACTGAGAAATAATTATTAAGATTATAAAAATGGTTTATATTTAAAGAAATGAAATATCCAATGCAAAACCCGTACGCACGCTACTGGTAGAAATAATATAGTTGTTTGTACACCTGAAAAAGCAACTTGATACATAGAAGATGTGTATCGAATCTCATAATGATATCTACAACAGTATCACAGATATTACAAAATATAAGATATTTGGAACATTCGTTTATATTATTTTTTTTAAATTGTTCCGAGATTCATTTCCTTAAATATTACCATGTCATCAAGAAAAACCATCTTTACTCAAGGTTTCTAAAGGAAAAGAGAGGCATGACTCCTACACCACTGCTAACATGATAGGTCTGCGTCTTTGCGTGCGCATTTATAGTGGCGTACGATCTTAAGGGAAATAAAACCATAACTTGCTTAATTTTTGCTTTTTAGGATATCTTAACGGATCTGAACGCAGAGGGTGAGACGTTACCCTTAGACCCTCCTAGAGATGATTGGTTGGGTCATAAGGGTATGGTGCAAGCCGCTCAGTATATTTTAGAAAAGCTCGACGAAGAAAAGCTGATTGAACGTGCTAAGGAGCACAGGCCTGAACGTGATACTAGGAATTTTGATATCGTGTGTGTAGGACATTCTTTAGGTAAGTGTTTTACTCGTGTGATTGTTACAATCCTGCTATGGGGCTGGGTGGTCAAGCTGCTAATCGGTCGAGCCAGGGTGTCCTAAAAGTCATGGATCAAACGAAACCACTTGATAGGAGGGGGGGACATTTCCAATCAGAAAAAGTATATACATATGTCCTTATTCGACTGTACACGGTTTTTGAGATATTTAAGAATTAGTAGAGAAGTAGAAAATCTCTTGTTTCTCTGACATTATCTTTTGTTATTTCTCAATCTGCTTCACAGGATATAATTCCAAATGATGTATAGTTGAAAAAAAAACAATCAGTGAGAAATTACTCCAGTTGATGTTAGTATAGCAATCGGCTAAACCGTAATTTTATCTATTAACTTAGTGGCAGACAAACTGTACATAGTTAGGAAACACTTCCAAATATTATAGTCTTCCAAAATACCTTTTCAGTAATCAAATAGCCTGAATATTTTAGACAAAATGCTGGAATTGAAAATTTATTTTACTACGTCATCTTGTAAAGGAGAAAGGGCAACGAGAACATGCAATTTATTTTAAAACACTGTCTCAAATAAAATCGGCAAAAAATAAAAATGATTTTGGGTTAAATCTAGTATACCAAGCAAACGACTGATAATTTCAAGGCCTTCCTTAGAACTTCTGTTTTTTTGAAATAAGGTTTGGCAATATCAATATATGACATGTTATATATTTTTGAAATCAGAATTGTAATCCCTATTCTGTACAAAAAAACCATATGGCACACATAATAGAAAATAAAGTTGATGCTGGAGGATAACAGACTAAACGTCATATTGAAATTCTAATTATGCCATCTTGTAGAGGAAAAACAGTGGCAATGTGCAGTTTATTTTGAAATCCCACTACAAGTAAGTTAAGGAAAAAACTAAGACGATTTTGTAAAAATTCGTTCTTTCCGTCTCTCTTCGGAAGTACTTTGAATTTCGAAGCTTTCTAATCGGCATTTTACTAATTTCCTAAATGCGAACATTTGTCCCCACTTAAACGATTTCGTATCTCTTACCGTTTCCGAAATCCCAATGGTGAGGGTCGAATTTTCAACACTCGGTATATGCTTTTTCAGATTGGAAATGACCCTCCTATCACCCCTTTTCGTTTGATCCACGGCTTTTGGGACTCTCAGTATATTACACGCCACCAAGTTCGATATTGCCCAAATGCGTTCAGATGGAATAAAGTGTAAAATTCGATTCCGGGGAATTGATTTTGGACTGAGATTGAGCAAACACTCTGTATTCTTTTCAGGTGCTGGAACAGCTAGTATATTAGGAATTCTCTTGCGACAGCGACATCAAAATCTTGAGTGTTACTGTTATTCTCCACCAGGGGGTTTGCTATCAGCTCCAGCCGTCGAATACACCAAAGAATTCACTGTCTCTGTGGTGGTGGGTAAAGATGTAGTTCCTAGAATAGGATTGTACCAAATGGAAACTTTGAGGACTGATTTAATAAATGCCATAAAGAGGAGCGTGGATCCGAAGGTAAGTTATGAACCTTACCTACAATCTTAGTTTATGCCACGTTTTCTTTATGATTCTAGTATGGTATGGTAGCGGACAAACACACTGATCTACATTTGAAGTATAACTTTTGGCCATTTTGGTCAAAACTTCGAGGTTTTTCGCATTTTATGGACGAACAAGTTTTTATTTTCAGTGGAAAACGATAGCCTGTAGCGTGCTGTGCTGTGGTTGCTCCCAACCAACCTCCGCAGTGGAGCTATCTACAGGAGAGAAAGATGTCTGTGAATACATGAGAAGCAAAGAAAACGCTAGATGTATGGGTCTTCATCCTTCCGATAGCTCGATAGCTCTGACTAGTCATCAACCACTGTTTCCTCCTGGAAGAATTATCCATATTGTCCGACATCATCCTACAGTGGGACAGTAAGTTGTAGTTGCTTTAAATTCTGTAGTGATGCTTATTTCGAGGGTAAACTTACAAGACTTTTTCAATTCAATAGCTTCAGACACTTCTTTGTACAGTGACGGATTAATTTTCAGATTGAAAAAAGCAATATGAAGATACATTATAGTTAAGTATCAAAATGGAAGAGAATAGCATAACTAAGATACTACAGTCTATACACATATGCGCGAACCTCATAGTATACTAAAAAAATGTACAAAATTCCAGCAATCACTTCTTCGATTATGCAAAGGTAGGCTAGATACCCGGCGTGCAGTTAGGAGAAATTTTACGGTAATGGAGAGTATAAATATACTAATATAAAAAATACCACCACTGGGCCCATTCTCAAAAACTACAAAGCTTTTTCGTCCTTGTCATAGCAGTAACCTTGTGCAAAAATTTGATTCAGATCCGAACAGTATCTTCAAAATTTTAGACGGGCCAAGGATAGACCGACAGACAGACCGAACCATAGCATTAACTGAATAGAATCAGTGGTTAAGCAATTTGTTTTCAACAAACATTCAGAAGCAGCGATTAATATACTTAGTGACAGTAGAAGATAAATAATTTCTTCAACTTGATTTTTTGACAATGAGGTAGTCAAGAATGAAACGATAACATTCTCACGAAATTTAGAAGAAAGTCCGTAGTACGACAGCAATGTGGGGACGTGCGTTGTCTTGCTGAAAAAGGACGTGTGGACGGCCATCTAGATACGGCAGTAAAGTGGTTTATAGGCCATCATCAACATAACGCGCAGCAGTCATATTGCATTGAACAAAGAGAAGTATGATCGGCTATCACAGGCAATAGCCTAACTGTGTACGGTATGAAAAAAGTCCAAATGCTCGAATGCGGCCATAGAGTGTACGCATAGTAACAGGTCTACCTGCTTCTCCAAACCATTGGTCAGCGATCTGACGCGTAGTAGCAATAGGACAAACCAACATCTCGATAGGCAATCATTCTACCCCTGTTAAAGTCGCTAACATGGTGATAATTTGGACGTCTTTGAACTCGAGGCATTTTGTTATGCTTAACACTAGTAACTGAAAGGGCAACAACAAACAATATCTGTACTACTCAGCGCTCGGAAACCGCTTTCTCCACAAAAACTAAGGGATGACATTTTAACAAAGGTAAACAAAAACAAAGATAAAACGTTAACAGTATGCTTTAAATACTCGTATAGTCATTATGTTGCAAAAAAAACAAGTTGAAGAAATTATGTTTTCTGGGTGTAACACTTCTAATGTCACTGAGTATATTTTTAAAATTGTGTTCTTTATTTGCATTGGCGAATAAATCACTTTGAATTACTTACATCGTTCTCAGAGACACAGTGCTACAGTGGTTGACGATGTGTTAATCTCTCCATTTCGGTTCACGACAATACTATTTATGCTTGTGAAAAATATGAGAATCTAAATAACTTTGAATTCTTTTAGACAAAGTGGGTTGACTTGAAACTTCAGATATGCCCACTTTATTACAAAACTGTTGCTTTTACCTGTACTTTCTGTATCGTAGTCTTGTATGGTTATCTTGCATATTGAGCCAAATACTAACGCAGCTTTACTTTTACACGCACTTAAGCTTTACTAACAATACTAACACGCATTTTCACACTTTCAGACAAAAGTATGAAAAAAGATGGAGGTAATATTGAGATCCTATAGAAACCCTGTATTTTTGTGGAGTGTAAAAGTGCATGAAATAATGAGAAAAATGGTGAAGCCTTGATAAAAGATACTACAAACATTAAAATGTGCATGCCATTTACCTACTTAACGTAAACATTGTTTTTTGTTTTGGAACATATCATTTCATTATCCTTTGTGATAGCGTTGGAAATAAACGGTTTGTATGAGTCAAAATAATGGTCACCAATTAGATAACTTCTAGCTAATTCTATGAACAAGAAAAAACCCAAAACTTTTTTTTCCATTAACCTCACGCATGAATATAACCCCAATTGAGCAAAAACCTTAGTTGGTAATGTGAAAGTACTGCGAATGCCATAATATAGTATGTGCTGTTTTCTGTTGAAATAGCTTGTTATTTTCACAGACAATTTCCAGCATGAGTTACAAGATATACACACATTTTTACCTAATACAGAGAAAAATTATTGAGTTCTGTGACAGCCTATTTTGTGTTGTTTGGTGTGGTTTCAAACAATAAAAAATTGGTTACAATGATCAAATCAAGCATGTAATGTAATTACTTCCCCCAGGCGATTTTTTTATACTTTTGCAACATATATTTTGTTCAAACATGTAGATCGTTGTGTGGCATTTCATAGATCAATATAATTACAAATAAAGGAATATATCCCTAATACACTCATACAGAATCATACCATGTCCCATCAACAATTTTCACGCCAAAATCCGAATCTGATCCATTTGCAACAAAATACACTATTAATTACGGAACATTAATGTATTCTGGCATCTACTTAAGTGCCCCCATTTGATAATTTCGTACCATTCGCCATAGTGAATCTGTTAAACCTTTTTAACGCAACATAACTTCTGTTTACCAATTATTCTTTAAAATTTGTTTCATTCATAGCTGACGTGATATATAGAACTGGGTAGCTCTAATTATTTTATGCAAAACAAGTCGCAAAAAACCGTCAGCATCTATAGGAAATACGACTCGATACCAGGTTCGCCTCTGTCACTTGACATATGTACCCCGATAGCATTAAATATTCATTAAATATTTTAAAAAAATGTTAAATATTTGTAGCGACAGATGTTTTACTATTTAATAAATATAATCCTTATCCATTATAGATATTTGCAGTATTTACAGGTATAACTCATATATTTTTGCTATATTTTTTCCAAATATTTAGAAAATAAATGAGGAATGATTTTTAAATCTATAAATCAGTTTTATATTTTGATGAAATATCTAATATTTGTCGTAAATATGTATAAATATATGAAGCTTACAGATTTTCAAAAATTAATGTGATACATATTTTCAACGTATAAAATTCTTCATTGGTTATTTTAGCAAAATCTGTAGAAATGCTTTTATAAAATTGGATTTATAAAGAAAACTCATTTTAGATATAATGGTTTAATTTGCTAGAAAAATATCATTAAAAATACATTCTAAGCCTCTTCTGCATCTTGCAAATCCACTCATCTGAAAAAAACAAACTTACTAATTATGAAGTATTAAGCATAAGCTGCTTTCCAGTGGTCTTTTGTTTGAGAGATATATTCTTCCGAACTATTCAACTGGGTCACTGAAAAGCAGCTCTATAATGCACCTAAAAGGACCCTACATTTTCTTCCTACGAGAGTTCAAGATTTTGTTAATTTTTAAGAAAATTTGGTCCTTGATCCTTAGTAAGGGGGCTAATTAAGCCATAACTATTTTGTGATTTTATATTATAATTCAAGGAACTGTGACACTTCAAGGCTAGTTATTTATAGTCTTGTCAACTGACACAATAATATTTACTAGTCAGATAAATTAAGCTATGTAATTATCGCAAAACTTACCGTTTTCCACCAAAAACTCTCAAATAATGTAGCCCTTGGAGGTACACAGGAAGCACGCTATCATATTATCATAGTGAAACTCACATTCAAAATGGATGCCGGCAAACGGGTCGGCTGAGGTCGGCTTGCCATTATGCCATTGGTCGCGCGGGGTTGCACGCACATGCGCCATAGCCGAAAATATTTAATGAATATTTTCTAAATAATGGAATTTTAATATTTTCCATTGACTGAAAAGTAAATATTTAATGAACATTATAAAAAAAATATTGTATTTAAAATATTCAAAAGATATTGAGTAAATATTTAATAGGTATAAATATTATATTCCAAATATTTGTTTAAGATAACTCATATTTAAGTAAGATAAAAATATAATTAAATATTTAATTAATATTTAATGAACATTTCATGCTAGGGGGGTGGTATTTTGAATGCCACTATATGGTCAGCTGTTATTTGTTCTGGTGTATCAATCTCAATGTTTTGCGTGCCGCCAAATGAAGCCACATATATTAAAGTGAAATATCATGACCGTTTCGGCCACCTTGGTATCCTTCAAAGTTGCACAATGATACAATATATTTCGTTTATTTGGCGGAAGTTTCACATGTTGAATTCAAGTTTTGACGTGATGAATTGTCGTGGAAAATAGTGTGAGTAGCCCCAAATGTAGTCTCTTCATTTTGCATTAAAAGTAATTTCTCCCTCAGATGAGTGTTTTTAATTAAGGGTGTCCTAAAAGGTGGGACTCTGCTTTTCAGAAACAACTACATTGCTAATGGGCATTAAAAGATTAGCGAAAACGTAGAAAGGCAATTCGAAGGAAAATACTCACTATTTCAACTTTAATCATTGCCTCGTCACATCTTTTGCCTGTACGTCTAGTCTTCTACTGTATCCATTATGGCAGCCTTTGTATGATATAAACAAACCTACGCCGCTCAGGACGGAAATACTAAGGAAACGATCCGGATACACTCGCGTGTCACTAGAATCTTGAGTAAACTATCAGCAAATCGATAACTTTGTTATTGCTATAAGAATGTGCTAATTTCGTTTTTCAGTCCATTTGTAAATAAGCAGCTAAGTTAACCTACACATCGTTCGGCACTTATTTTGTCTGCTGATGTGTGAGTTACCTTCTCACGCCCGTTGTTGGGCAGGGCGGGCCCGTTCGGATTTAGTTTTAGAACTTAATGGTCTGATATCGTAAAGCTTTGGTACGTATGTTACTATAGTTGTCGTCACCGTTCTGGGCGGTTACATCATCAACGGCATATGAAATAAGTAAACGGATCGAGTCTCCGTACCATGGGCGGAACACTGCGCAGACTAATCTTCAGCGCATCTGCTACTCTCTCCAGTACGCATGAAGTGGGTCTCCATTGATCATATTTCCGGGCATTGTACAATTTTATATTGAAGATTGATAACAGGACAACTCAAATTGCACGCAGCTGTCAAATAAGTTGTGACTCTGACAAATATGATAGAAGGGCACTCATACGTAACGACAAAATTTTCGAGACGGAGACACCAGTGGCGAAGCGTCCATGTAACCATTGTTACTATTGGTAACAGTTAAAAATCTTAAAAATAAAGATTTTATGACTAAGTACTGTGAAATAAGTTCAATTATTTGTTTACCAACAGCGATATGTAATAGTAATTCAGTAAATAGCAAATTAGCCCCACGAAAATAATGCGCCCTATAGTGTTTAGGTTTTGTGAACACGATGAAGCTGACTCGCCTCGACTTGGTTGTCGGTTGTTACCATTTTCATTTATGGATACACTTGGTAGTCCGTCGGGGACCGTCGGTACCGGCTCGTGTCTTATCGCGGTCGCCCGAGTGCGTGGGGCGCTGCGACTATTATGTGGGCTTGTTACCATTTTTTGATTTGGTTACTCACTTCTCACTCGTTAGTAGCCGTTTTGGTTACCGGCTGTAGTGTGCGTGCAATTAAACATGGATGAGTGTCGCTGCGTAATCGATCAACTACTTGAAAAGTCATTCTCCTTGTATAATTTTTAAGAAAAAAAGGAGATCATTAAAAATGGAAGACCAACACCTATTTTAGATAATTTTAAAAAGGGATAAAAAACGTAGTTTGATATTTTAAATTAAGTTGGTATATGGAAACTCTTGGTTATGTAGTTGCAAAAAAACAAATTGTATTGTTGGCGATGTCTTTTGTTTTATACAGAAAAAAATGGGTGGACCAGCAGCGGAGTCAACGATTTAAATAGTTTAAGGGATCTAAAGAGGAGACATGAAATTTCTCCGTTACATGTGAGATGTGTAGCCAATTTAACTCAGTTTGGCAAAACAAGAATCGAAAGTTGTTTTAACCAAGCTTTTAGGCAGTACACTTCTAGATATCGTATGTTTTTTGGCAAAACAGGAATTACCGTTCATTTTGAAGGGGATGACTCTGACAATAGAGCAAATTACAGGGAATTGATAACATTCATTGCCAAAAAAGATCAAAAATTTCCCGAATATCTAGAAAGGTCGACTGTTTTTTCGGACGGCTTGGATTAGTCATAGCATAAGACGGTGAGGTATATCAAGTGCCCCAGACGCTCAGTCCAGGAATGTTTACTTATATTTGGGAGGTTCAAAATAAACTTGTTTTGATTATATTTTTCACATCTGGTTTTGGTAACAGTTTAGGAAAAGTCACGCGCGTCGCCACTGGGAGACACACAACTGAAAAACGTATTTCTTTGAGCTTACCGAACAAACGTTCACACACAGGAGTAGGTTGCATGTGTATGTATGAGGGAGATGGAGATACGAGTATATAAAGGGATACTGGTAGTCTTACTTTGACCCGCCAAGAACGGTGTCTACAACTATATGCAAACCGTCATATTGTTACATGAACTATACGCTGCGTAAAGTCTTAACTTTAAGGACACCCTGTGTTATCTTGACGTAGAATGTCTGAAACTTCACTTGTTGATTGGACCTGGACTGATCTGTCGGTACTCCTTACACACCTAAACTACACCATATGCCACATATTCTTCCAGACAAGCTCTGAACAAGAAGGACCCCGTTTACCAAGCTCTGTGGGCTGCCAACACGGACTTCGACGAGGTGTTGATCTCTCCAGTAATGATTCAGGACCACATGCCTGACAGACTCCTGGAAGCGCTCGATAAGGTACTGAATCACGCTATGTTCGCTCACTACGAGATGTCTCTGCCTCCGCACCGGTATACCTTAGCTGAAGATGCTGATTAGACTATGTGTCGCATGACTGTGTTATTGGTGTTTAGTGTTGTAGTTTTATTTTATTTTTTTTTTGCTTTGAGATAGCCAAACATTTTCTTAAGTTTAAAACATGTTCAAACAATACAAAAGATGTTTCAAAATCGAGCACTATTAGTTCGGAAAAAAGTAAGAGAAAGTAAGTAAAAGTAAGTCGGCTAAATGGGAGCAGATCTTCGCATCGAGATAACTAAAAACTGACATAAGTTTTCCAGTTCAGAGTACCTCCGGGGATGAAAAAAAAAACGAATTTCCCCAAAATCTTTTTTTTTTCTTGGCTGTTGTGCAATTTCCAAATTAGTTGTACATTAACATTATCATTTTTCTAAACTATTGGACGACATAATTTGAATTTTAACATAAACTTTCGTCACTTGTCCACAGTTATCAGCTTTACTTTGTCTTTACCAAACGTAAGTTATTTCACAAAATATAGTGTTTTCAAAGTTGATTTTGAAAATGGTAGTTTATCATATGTTCATCAATTAAAAATTACTTCAGTTTCTTAGATATTTGTTCGAATGAGATTCAGATAACTTGTCCACTTATCGAATATAACATGCGTTATTTTGACACGCCATGACACCTCAGCCGTAGATTAATATCTAACTACGTAGTTAAATGCAAGATGTGTGTATGGGATAATATATGATAAGATACGTGTTTGACAACCTGAAACCTGCCAACCTTGGAAATTCTATTTTTTTTAAAATTGTGTTTGGCATATTATTCATTTTTGAAAAAACGTTATTCATCTATGCAAAAATCCAACATGACGACCATTGAGAAAAAATATTGTCGATTATTGATTACAAGAGATGAAACGTCATATTGAATTTGTATTTATGTCACCTTTTAGACGAAAAACAGTGGCAAAGTACTCCGAATTGCGAAACTTTCCAAGTTCCATTTTCTTAGTTACGTGAGTGCACAACTTTGCCCCTACTTATGTTAACTAAATTTGTATCTCTTACCGTTTCCAAGATCCCAATGAAGAGTCGGTTTTGAAACATCTGGTATCGCTATTGCTACTAGACGTGTTTAGTAAAAAAAAACTTTCTTACCACCTTCAACTGCCTCTGCTGCAATTAAACTTCTAGTTGGATTTGATGGATAAGTGACACTATATTCAACAAAGGGCGTTTCTGAAGCTAAAACAAAATATGATTGGTTCGCCACTTGGTAGGTATCTGAGAAGTCTGATGTGTGTGACATAGAATGCTAACACCTAGATCCAGCGTAATCTATATAGTTGTCAGTCAAATAGGTACCATAATAAGTGAAATATGTAGGTATCCAGTAACCTTGACTACAACCTTCAAGGTCATTTCAAGGTCAACGGAATTGAAAGAAAAAGGAAATCTTACGTCCAAATATCACCTTAGTCATTACCTTGATCATGGTCTTCAAGGTCATTCAAAGTTCATATCAAGATATCGAAAACAATTTGCTCTACCAAGAATGTTCGACAGCACATTGGTGAAGTTTATGGGGATCACCCAAACGTAACTTTGACCATCACTATGACCATACTATTCAAGGTCACGTCAACCTTTCTGAAGGAAATCTCTCATTTTTGTACGGGAAATGAAAAAGCAGGATATTTTTTCGTCCGAATGTGACTTTGACAGCAATTAACATTAAAGGTTTATAAGACCTTGACCTTGAGGTTAAGATCCATTTTCAGTGTAAACATTAGAGGTTCATTTGGAGATTTTGATCTGACGTTGGTCAAGGTCATAGTTGAGGTCATATTTAGGTGATCCCCACAAATTTCACATCTGTGCTGTCGGAACATTTGTGATAGAGCAAATTGTTTTCAACCTCTTGATTATATCTTGAAATTGTCTTGAAGGAAATAGTCATCATCATGGTGATGTTCAGATTCGTACGTAAAATTTCACCTTATTATCAACTCCGATGTAAAAAGCGAGATTTTATTTAAAAAAGTTAAACTGACCTTGAAATGGCCTTAAAGGTTGAGGTCAAGGTCATTGTCCAGGTCACCATCATTTTGCCCCTCAAAACCCTGCGAGTTTGAAACTTCTAGGATACAAAGCTTTCAAAATATTTAGGGGATGACACCCTGTATTAATAATAGTAAAATAATATTTGTATTGCTTTTATCACGGACGTAGATGTATTGTTGAAGTGTAAGTAAAGCTTGTTGGTAGTTGAAGAAAAGTGATTTCTGTTGTATTGTTTGATGTATCATTTAATTTTCATTCTATTAATACCGTTATATTTTTTATATATTTCTTTCGGACAAATACCTAAAATACATTGATTTGATCTTTATGTGCATTATTTTCGTACGTTTGAACTTGCAAGACATGTATGATTAAAACTATCGTCCTATAAGGTGCTTCTTCATATTTAATTTTTTTTACGACGGAACTATTGGTATAATATTATATATATATATATATATATATATATATATATATATATATATATATTCATTACGTCATTTTTGGCTATCTCAAAAATTACTATTAACTTATAGTTAGATATTATATGAAAAATTATGTGCAATGATACCGATAATTACTTTGTGGCGAACAGTAAAGAAGTAAATACTTCTATGCTATGCTCATCCCTAAAAACATTGGATTGACTTGGTCAACTGCGCCTTTTGGCTGTACATCAACACATGGGCCATGGTTTTCTCTTTACGCAATACGTGAAATATGCAGGGTGTTCTGAAGGTCGAGACCATCCTTTTAGAGGGGTTAATACACGTTGAACCAGATATACCTTAGTACAAGGTCGAACGCAATTTTGCTAGAAAAATTTCAAAATCTTGCGATCTTCATCCCTTATTTTTATCATTTATCTTATGCATAGTCTCACTATACAAATAATTTCCTAGTTATTATGGCATTTCGAACGAATTTACGGAAAACTTGGCTTCAGAGCAGCTTAAAATCATTGGACAACCTTCCCTCATTTCTGCTCTTTTTTATGATATATCATACAGCCATATTTTTCTTCTCAATTACCCAAAATGTTAGATCAAACAGATTATCATCGAAGTTACAAAAACAAGCCACTTTCCGTGAAACAAAGCGATTTTTCGATAACTTGGAGACTATTTGCATATGAAAACTATTCATCAAGAGAAATGATGAAAATAACAGAACAAAACAGTTGATTTTCATTATTGGATTGTTTATCGCATGATTTTGGCTTTTTATGGTATTCCATAAGATTTCGCGTAACTCAAAGACAGTTCAACTTTGTACAAAGGTATATGTGGTTCAATGTGTCTACCCTTGAAAGCATGGTATGCACCTTCCGGACGAATTCTGAGTTGAGTAAGAATTATATTTTCACCACTGTTGATCTGATGTTATTAGAGATCAGTTAAACTTCGCCTTTTTATAATTGTTCAATTACAAAGGAGTTCATCGCATAATTTGCTAGTCATTCCAAAATTGGCCAAGTATTTTTTTATGCTTCTAGCTTCACAGTTTTTATTAGATTTAGGTACTAATTTTACTTCAGAATCTCACTTGTTTGATATAATTTATATTCGTTATTTATAATTTTGTTTTGGAACTTGCAAAGATGATACGTTTCAATTGGACTGTGATTTATTTTCTCAAAGTTTTTTGCATTGCTTGACTGTTTAGGTTATGATTTAGTGGTGAGAGCTATTAAAGTATTTGATGCTTCTTTTTGTTTCATTTATTATTTACTGCGTTTTGCCTTTTTTTAAATCCTCAGGTAGCACAAGCACGTGAAAATGACGTTGCAAATTGGTCCTGACGTGTCGCGTTATCACGAGTTGAATGCAGTAAAAACGGCCTCCTAATGTCACATAACGATAGCGGTAAATGTCAGACGTTAATAATACGCCACTTAAAGGACGTGAAGATAACGTCTATTATTTATAATGAGTAACTAGTTTCACCTCCTTCATAAATTATATACTGTGTGTTACCATGTAGTATTACACAGACGCAGCGCCATAGACTATAAATTGTTATACTGGTTCCATGGTATTCGCACATAGATATTACTGTGCCTCCACTCCTCAATTCACACGGCGTTTGGGTGGGAACACTACGCTAATGTTGCCATTTATGCATCCTAAGAGCTGTGTAATATTACGGGTAGCACAACATGCTAGATAATTAAGATTGCGTTAGCCTCTAACTCGATAATATACTTGTATAATAGTCTAAGCATATTAGACGAAAATACCGCGAGATAATTGTAAAGTCTGGTTTTATTGATGCAAGTTGTTCAAGGGGACGCATAAAGTGGGTACGCCAATTTTTGCGAGGAAACTTTTTATTCGACAACAAAGACTGAGAAAACTCCTTTCTTGGGATTCAATCGAAAGTTTTCGCAGGAACGAAAAAACACTTTAAATAAGATTTTTAGGTATTTATGACACCTACCAAAAAAGACCACACGTAAAAAGATCCGATTAATAGTAAAAAAGTTAAGGTCGAAAACCGAGGCAAAATGCAGGTTTTGGCACTTGTTGATAATGCGACGATAATTTCACGCAGCTACTTGAAATTCTTCAAATCTGTAAATACTTCTAAATAACCACAACAAAACTGGATTCGATTGCTAAAGTAGTCTTTGACAATTTCTAATTGTTTATCCCAAAACACCTGTGTGAAAAAGCGTTTATCTCTCCAAATTTAAAAAAAAATAATAGAGAAAAAAAGAGTTTCGTGGATTCGAACCACCGACCTGCGGTTATGCAATCTTCAATCCTTCCCATTACGCTATGACGCCTCTGGGTTTACTGGGTCCTTACACCACTATCCTTGACGCTGGCAACTGTCAATCGAACGTTGCAGGCATATCAAATCTGTTATAAACAATTACAGTACTCTTGAAAGCAGTACAAGATACATCGCCGAATCTTTAAATAATGTATTAGGGACTAATTACGAGCATCTCGCCTAATTTTTAAAACGGTCAGTTCGCTACAATTGGTTGTTATTTGTCTACTATTTTTCGTTTCCTCGAGTTTATTTTCCAACATCTTGAACTCTCAGTCGTTTTAATAGGACGAGATTTCGAAAAAAGACGTATACTATATTAATACTTTTAGGAAAAAAAGTCATCAATAATGCAGCCATCTAGCACATTAGCACATGCTGCATACTAAGTAGTCTAAACTTTAAGGCTCATCTGTCACCGTGTAGAAGTCTTAAAAAAAAAGTTTTCTTCGCAACAAAAGGTGATAGACTCATCCGCTTGGTTTTAAAATGTGTCTAACAAACCTGTTTTTCGAATATCGTAGCGAATCTGTTCAGTTTCTCTCGTATACTAAATGTTTGAATTTGTTTAGAAGAAAAAAAGTAATCCTTCGTTTTTCGCATAAAAATAACAATTATTTTACGGAATGGTTTGTGATTCACGTCGGCAAGGTAAAGTCTGGTATTTTGCTATAAAATGCCCTTAGAACGAACCCTGTATATTGTTCAGTAAACTTGTAGTGGTGGTGAGAAGACAGGTGTTTTTGGATAAACAATTAGAAATTCTCAAAACCTACTTGACCAATCGAATCCAATTTTGTTGTGGTTATTTAGAAGTATGAAGCCTACGGATTTGCAGAATTTTAAGTAGCTGCGTGAAATTATTGTCGCATTAGCAACAAGTGCCAAAACCTACATTTTGCCTCGGTTTTCAGTCATAACTTTTTTACGCGTGGTCTCATTTTGTAGGTCTCCAAAATACCTAAATATCTTATTTGAAGAGCTTTTTCGTTCCTGCCAGCACTTTCAATTGAATCTCAAAAAACACATTTTCTCATTCTTTATTGTCGAATAAAAAGTTTTCCCACAAAAATTGGTGTATGCATTTTATGCGTCCATGTTTTAAATACCCGCTTGAACAACTTGCATGAATAAAATCCGACTTTACACGATTATTTCGGGGAAATTTGATAATAGACTATAACACATTGAAGATTGAACAGCTAAAACGTCAAATGTATTATTTGTTTTGTTTGTTCAGTCTAAATGTTGTATCCAATAGGGCCGTATTATTCATTTTGCACTCACACTTATTTTTAGAAATCAGTAATTATTATATACGGGAGCGCTAGAAATATAATTATACGGTAAAGTTTGGCAACAAAATTTCAGATAACTTTGAGTTGCTTTAACTGAACGTCGATCAAGGATGGAATGAGGCAATTATTTCATTGTCTAATGGCTTGATCCGTTTTGAATTGGAAAGATTCTAATTTAAGATCATTTTACATATAAAAATATTTGTAATTAAAAAAAGATAACATCAGAAACATGTCATAATAACGTCCTACCGTACCCTTACACAATTGAACATTTAGTGGAGGTCATTACGATATTTGGAACAAACACGTCAGTTGACGCGCTATGACCAAATTTCGACGTCATTATGACGAGCTCGTGCTAGGTACAGGTAGCATTGATAATTTATGCGTATAACCTTTTTGCTAGTTGTTGCTGCAGATGTATTATTTAACCAAAAATGAGCTTAGAGAAAAGATATACGTGTGCATCAGATGTCTTAGCACTATGGTATGGGTCTTGTACAGTTCGGGATCCACGGATATGCTCATAGAAAGAAGTATAACACATAAAAACGAAATGATATTCTCAAAACATAAGGAAATGGTAACAAAAAATAGTTATGATTCGACCACGTAATCTTCGAATAGTGATTAATAATCCGTCTCTCCAATATGTTCTCTCTTGGAAAGTACCGATCGGATTTTGATGAAATTTTGACACAAGGTATACTTCAAGAAAGAAAAAGCTTTGCAGATTTTGAGAACCAACCTGGTGGCGGCGGAGCTATGGACAAAAAACAAGAACGAGGAATAAAATCGCTCAAACTTCGTTTTTTAACGTGTTGGAGACACCTACTCGCTTTTGCAAATTTTTTGAGGGATAAAAGTCGATGGTGGAGGATTGCAGGGTATGGGGGAAGGTCATGGGCGTCCATACAGCATAAAAGGGACGACTACAGCGCATTGGCGATCCTAGAACGAAAAATCAACCTTGAAATACCGGGTTACAGCTTGGGGCATGACATCACACAATTCAGACCTAGCAAAGTAATTTTTGCAGAGATTTTGGAACCAAAAACACACACGTGCGCCACTTGTTTAAGTACCCTATTAGATATACACCTATGATACTTCTAAACGGAAAATTTATCCACAGCTACATGTTTAGTACCTGCATTTTGATATATCCCTGGAAATCGCCATGCGTATCTTTCCAGATTATTTTGTAAAAATAGTGCTTCCTATTATACTAATCATGGGTTGGCATTCCGGAATGATCTGTAGCACCCTGTTTTCGATGGCATATACACGTTCCTTAATCTTAGAAATCTTTTCGAAGATTTACGAACGGAATACCGAAGCTCGATAAACTACCAATGGCCAAAATTCCAATTCCGTACTCCCCGACTAAGATGCATGATTCCCATATCTTAAAGTACGTTCATATTCCTACACATTCTCCTTTCCCCTTCACATTCAACTTAAGTTCCCACTTGGCTTTCAGTTTGCAGCAATACATGCGTGTGCATCATGCATTTACACATGCTACACCATAAGACATGTTAATGATGAAAATGCACTGAAGTCAAATACCAAAGTGGAAAAGAGTAGTGAAAGGCATCGTACACCACTATCTTTAAGCACGGTTGCTACACCTATTTAGCATCAGTATACGATGAATTAAAGAGCTTGAGGCAACAAAGGACTAAGCCACATGTGAATAAAAAATCGCATTGCCATTTAAATACAATCTTGGTATTGGTGTGTTTATCTAGGAAGCTGATTTGTATGGTGATTCGCTACGATCTCCAAAGGGCGTTGTTGGAGGACCATATTATTCCTTAAATTTTTACACTAAGAAAGCTACAAGTCACTTCAATTTCAAGATTAACGCCAAATTGGAAATTGCTCGATGGCGCAAACAATGTTGTTCTAGTGTTACAGAAAGCTAAGGCCGTTCTGGATTTAGTTTAGGTCATAGTTCGAACGACAGATACTATCAACCGACCGATAACTATTACTCAGAATACACCATAATTCTTATTCAGAATGGCTATAGCAGACCGCAAATTTAATAGCTTCAATACTTGTCAAAAATATATGAGTTTTGTGATGACTGGCTTATGCTCTCTTCATCAAATAAACTGATCTGTGTGGCTTGTGACCTTTTTCACTCGAGGGTAGTATTGATAGTTTTTTCGGAATTGAAAACGCTTTTAACACAAACCTAGTGGAATAATATGATTTTTACGTATTTGGATCTGTATTTGTTGCGAAAAAGAACTTTATCGTAGGTAAGGGCTCCGTCAAATTTAATGAAGTGCACTGTTCCAAGTTTGACTATAAATACATAAATAAAATGTCTAAAAACATATCCTTTTTCAAGTTGCCCTGAAAATACAACTTTTTAAAGCAATAAGGAACCAAGTCATAGCGTTCCTAAAAATCATTTTAGTAGTTCATAGTTCCTCCACAAACAGGTCAATCAAAATTAAACAACAAATGTCATTTTAGACCTTACATAAAACTTCAGATTTATCAACATAAAGTCAATATGGCCCAGTTCTCTTGTTGCCCCAGTCCCCTCAGTTGTTACTCTTTTTCAGTGTATAACTTGACTGTAGTGATAGTTACTTGAGGGGCTCCT